TATATATATATATATGTATGTATGTATGTATTTATATATGTTTGTGTCTTTATGCACACAAATATAAATGAGGGTATGTGTGAAGGAAATCATGGGTTATTTTTCCTGTGTAAGTATTATGTAATTTAGTGTGGTCTCTCATGTTTTTTATTTTTATTATTTTTTAATAAAATCTTCAATGATAACGATGTCTATAACTTATTTGAAAAGATAAACATTTGTATGAAGTTTGTACACATGCATCTCTAACCAAAACTTCCAATGAAAGCATAAACTAATATATAATTTCCCCAGGGGTGCAAGGCCGTCAATTAAAGATGCTGGAGGGCTCACTATACTTGAAAGAGCAATGGAGATGGGAGCAATAACTGACGAAGAGCTATTTATCATGCTTGCTGAATGCTAGAGAAGATGGATCTGGTATATATTTATTTATATATATATATATATAGATATATATATATATTATGAGTGTTGAAGATATGCTGTTGTTCATTAAGTAAAGAAAATTTGATTACATATTTTTGAAGGCCTGATTCATCGAAAGGAATCTCAGATTTTTTAATTTATTTGGCTCCATATTTGTTGCAGTTATTATAGAAAAGACTCTAACATGTATCTCTTAAATTAAATTTCAAAGGGATATATATTCATTAAGATACTTCTACAAGAAAAACCTCATTCATACAGTTTCATTATTTGTTCGTCTCACTTCTATTTAGAATAATTTTGAAAGTATTTTTTTTCATTATGCAATATTAATTAATGATACACGGTTATATAATAAGGACATTTTTGTGAGATTAGATGTTTGTTGATAATTTGATAACGAGTGGCTTAACGAATTAGTTAAAATAGAGTTTGATAATATATTAAAAATGAAGTCTAATTTATTTTCATAAAAATGTTTTGTAAAGCAAAGTTTGATTCTACCTATATATTATAATTTTATTTTATATTTAATCTATTTGTATCTCCCATAACACTTTAGGTAAATGGTATGTTCAACTTCATTATTGTAGTCTCAAAGAGATTTTGGGTTATACATGAAAATTAAGTTCAGTTTACTGTACATTTGTTTAGTTTACTGATCCCAATATTTATTTTGTCTACCGTAAATGTGTCCGTCTATATTGTCTTTTGGTATTCCTCTCCAAAAATACACGAAGCACGAAGGATAATGTACGTTTAAAGATATAAGCATTAACCACTTTCATATGGATTAATAAGGCTTTAATTTAATTTGATTTTATTTTACATATACACAAGTATATAGAATGTGTGCCTCAGCCTGTGTGAAAAATACTCAATCCATGCATAATCCGGAACTATATTTGTGTTTCTTTGAGTATATTATATAGTTACTCTTTCATATTCATCCACTTTTAAACATCAACTACGTTATCAATGGAACTTACTGTCGAAATTCACATCAACTCGCTCATCGAGTTTCTCTTGCATATGTATAGTCTTTTGCATTATTATACAGCACGAAAATGGTATAAAAAATACTCTTAGACCATCCATGACATATTCTAATCATTTTTACTAATTTTTAATACTCCTAAATTGGATTCTAAACTATGTACCTAAACAAATGTGTATAACTTATTTTAAATCAATTATCAAATGTTTACAAGGTATTAACTCAAAAACAACTAACTCCTCGTTTTAGAGGCCAAAATTTAATTCCACAAGTTCTAAATCATTTTTGATCAACTTAGGGACCCTAACAAGTCAGAAATGACTTTCAATACTTTAAAAAGATTCCATTTTGACATAGAATTTCTGATTCACAATATTATTATACAAAACCTCTAAAATGCACCAAAACTTCATTTCAAAACATAGTATATTATTTAATTTACCTTCCTAAACAAATTCTTTGTACATTCATTACTCCCACAAAGTTTCAAATAATAATAAAATAGTTCATAATACACCATCTATTCATCTATACCATTATTTCAACGAATCCCCTAGTGAAATCTCACTTTTAAATTGACTTACAACTCAACTTAACCTTCTCTTCCTCAATTTCTTAATTAAATATCATTATTAACTTCACTATCACAACAAATTCACAAACAAGATCCATACCAATCACGAATCAACAAAGAAAATCATTTCATCACATTTTTCTACTAAAGCAATTAAACTTTTCACATTTTAACCAAATTCAACAGACTAACTAAAAACATCAAGTTAAACATTCATTATTTTAAAGCACTTATCAATTCTAATACTCAAATTTCTACATTCTTACACTAGGTGTATATACTTATATTAATAATAATAAAAAAAATTTATCTCCATTATTGAAAATATTAAGATATAAAATAAATAATTTTATGATTTTATTAAATAGAATTTTTTATTGTAAATAGTTAATCCAATTTATTAGAATAATTATAAAATATAAAAGATAAAATAATAAAATAATAAAATAATTTATATTAATAGAAGTAAAATTAATAACAAAATGCGTATTTAAAAATAGTAATGAAATGCTTACAAAACTAATAGTAGATTACAATATAATTTTTTTTTGTAATTTTATTGTATTATTGTGTAGATGTTTTTTTATTAAGGTGGTTATTTTAATAATAATATTATAATATTAATAAAGAGATTCTCTTTATAATGTATACAAAGTTTTACTAATTTTATTCTATTATTTTTTTATTTAATCATTTTCATAAATTTAACTATTTTTTAAATTAAAAATAATTATTATAATACAAAAAATTGCTTACAAAATAGATAAAATTAATCTATAAAGAAATTATAAAAAAATCCGTATTCATTTTTATAATTATTTAATAATAATTTCATTATTTGTTTATTATCTTAAAAAATATACATTCTAATTATATATGTATTTTCATTAGTATTAACTAGTAAAAAACATGAGGATTATATTTTTTATTCTAACAAAGATTTATCAAACTATAAAATACTTTATACTAAAAATAATTATAAAAATAAGTAATTTGTATAATTTTTTATTATTAAATATTTATTATAAATAAGAAATTAAATTTTAAAAATATTTTAAAAAAATAAAATAGTAAAATAATTACTTTAAATTATAAAATAATTAAATTTAGATTACAATCTTTAAAAAAATGGAAATGTAATTAGTTTAATTTAAAACAACAGTTACTCAAACAATAAGTTGGAAAAAAAAAATTGTTTATACAATCGCCTTTATTTATCCATATAGATACATTTGTGTATGGAAGTTGTTATTGTTTTACCTTTTAATTAGTTTTTTATTTATTTTTTATTTAACATTGTAAAATTTACTTATTGTCATAGTTATTATATAAAAAGAACTTTCTAATTTAATAACATTTTTATTTTAATAATTACTATTATATTATATTTTTGTTTCCATAAGAAAAAGAAATGTACACACATAGAGACCCATTTGTTTTCACCGGTTTAAAGGAAATTACCTGAAAAGTAAAATTAGAAGAATTTTTGTATAACTAAAAAAAATACTTAAAGACAATTTTTTTATTTATGTTATAAATTATTGATAAAATAATAAATACACATACACAAAGTAAACACATTTTTCATTTTCACTCAATTTAAAATTATCTGTATCTTCTGTAAAGCAAATGAATTTAAAACAAATAATTTTTAAAAAAAAAAATCATAAAGAGTGTGTATGATCTTGACTAGTTGAAACCTTCTAGCTTTCCATCTCTTCTCTTAGGTTTCGAAAATCCCTTTCATACAACTCTGAATTCGGTACCCTGACAATCCTAGGTATGGAGCCATGGTTCTTCTTTTCCTTGTTTTTATGCTAATTGCATTTTCGATAGATATGAGGTTTGGTTTTCTCTATGGAAATTAACAAAAACCCTCCTTTACAGTGAAACCCTAATTTTACCCCCAATAGAACTTGTTCTTGTATGTTATTTTGTACAAACTTTATGATTGAATATGTTTGTCCTTTTGATCCCAATTGTTACACGTCTTAGCCTTCCTTGCGGTGTTATAGAAAATGATTAAACTTTTAAGTCTTTAGTTCTGCTTTCATTGTAAATGAAAAGGTTCACATTATTTATAGGAATGCATACATGTGTTGAGGGAAGTAAGCGTCAGTTACCATCATGGATGATGCAGAAGGTTGGTGCCACTGCCATCCATGTGAGTGACTCTGACAATGCTGTTGAATCTAATTGCTCTATGAAAAAAGTAGACGACATTGCAGCTTATGCAACCGAGAATGATCCTAAGAGCAGACCTTCCAGGAGGAAATCAAACTTAAGAGCCAAGTGTGATGATGGAAGCCTCAGTAAGGCTACTCAAAAGAAGAAAAAAAGTGCTAAACCTATTGATAGAGATCAGAGATCTTCTACAAAGAAAAGAAAAAAATTAGAGGATCCGAGCCATGGTTGTGATGATATTTATCAAGTTCAAGCATCTAGTGATGATGCTGTGGACCTGACGGTTGAAGATTTGTTGGTGATAGCAGAACAGGTAATATTGTACTGTTCTTCTATCTATCAATATATTTTCCATATAGTTCAGTGATTATGGTATATAACCTCCCCAGTAAAAGTTGATGGTGGGGGCATTTAATATTCATTTTGCCTCTATTTGGACTTGAACTTTTTGTCTTGTGCATTCAGTGTGTCAACGAGTATGAGAACAAGGATCGAAAAGAAATATCAAGTAGACAGAGTGAATCAAAATGGGAATTTCAAGTTACACATGAAACAGGAACCACTCTTGATTCCCCTTGTGAGAAAAGAAATCCATTCTACACTAGAAAGGATGTTTTATCTAATTCTGCATCACAAACTGGTGAAGTAATTGATACGAGCACCTCTCGAATAGGTGATCCTGCCCAAGACATGCTGAACCTGTTCTTGGGGCCCTTGCTAAGTAAAACTCTTGAGAAGGAGAAGAGCAAACATATTGTTGAAAATGCCAAAATTACCCATGAGTTCACTAGGCAAAGTCAAGATGAACTTCGTGGAGAAGAAAGAGTCCCCTTAATGAAGAAAAGATACACCTTGAAAGATAAGGTGACAATGTTTCTTGAGCAAGATTTGTAGATTCGTCAAACCCAGCATATGCATATCACAGCAAAAGCAACCAGTTATTGTTCTTGCATGACCTATAACAGTAGTTTCACACCTGTGAATCATTTGATAATGTAGTGTTATCCTAGTTGGGCAAAGTCCTCTGTAATGATGTTATTGTATATAGTTCTTTATAAATGTAATCACCATGCCGGGGGGATTTTAAAACCCATCTTGACACTGCCCTTTGGGATGTTACATTAACATTACGATTATATCATATGTAGAAGAGGAGCAAGCAAGCAAGCAAAATGTCTGAGCTTTTGTATTCTCCAATGAAGACTTTATTTTTAATATTGATTGATGGAAGAAGGAAGGATGCTTAAAAATAATAATTGAAATAGTTAGGGAATATGGATGTTTATGTTTGTTTTGTTGTTTTCCAAGTAGGCCTAATGGTTGCCCTTATAAATTTTGGGGTTTGGTCAGAGAAAGGAAGGCGATTTGTAATGGTAGTTGCTGCCTAGATTGTTCTTTTGTGCCTTTTGGCTGCAGAAAAAATGCTTGCTCTTTCATGGAAAATCTTTGTCCATATACTTGCTTTTGGACTTGACTGAATTAATAGCCTTTATATATGGTTTCGGCATTTGTATTTATGCAAAGATTCCATTAACTTGCGTGGCGAGGGTGATTAACTAGCTCTTTTGTTTTAACGCATTTGTTGGATTTTTAAGCATGTTCTCGCTAGCTTTCTGAAAGGAGAATATCAAAGTTATCCTTTTTCTTCTTGTCAGGTACTTAATATTTTCCACCTTATCCCTTGAGGAGCACAATGAATCGTCCCATAACCTTCATTTTTAGAGACCTACTTGTATGTTTTTAGGTCTTCAATTTACTTCACCATTTCGACAAGCTGTGTTTTGGGGAATCTTATGAAAAAGTTCACGTGTTTGACAACATTATTGTGTCGACAACTATACGATCATATCTAATTGGTAGAAAGTGTGTTATTGTTCAAGAGTTTATGATATCAAAAGGGAAAGGCAAAAACCCCACTGAGGGACCATTTTTTTAGTTTGGTGCTTCCAAGCTCCCACCACCTTTTTTGGGGAATATCTCGTTTTCTATTTATTCGTACACATTGCATAGGAACAGAAACTTTATTTAGGTAAAAAAAAGAATATTAGAGCTGCCTCTTTTTTCTACTACTACATATGCAAAATAGTATCAGTGCCAGTTCAGTACGTAGGCATCTTAAAGTTTAAATCTTGATAGTCCAATTTTATGCCCTATTTTCTTGACATCTTCTTGAATTTGGTGTCTGTATTCTCCGAAAGTGAACTTTCTATATACAGAAGGTCCTTTGCAGCCGTTTATGACAGTATTGTTAAAAGGGCATAGGAAGTATGCTACGGAGTATCTTTCCATTTTGTCATTGGCCACAACCTTGTGCTCCACGCTTCTGTACTCATCGTTACTCCAAGCCTGTATTTGAGTTTTCCAATACAAAGACCTATTGTTAGTGGATAAACCATTGACATGTAACCGACAATTTAATAATGCTTCATAAAACCAAAGGTTTTTAGTAGAAAATCGTTGTGATCATGCATGCATCTTCTGTAGTAGGGTTGTGTCAATAATGGATGCTGCAATGGCCATTCTACCATTGATTCTATTATAGTAGTCACTGAGACTAGGTTTTAAGACTTAAGAGAAAACAACGGAGCTGTTTTGTGTAGTTTTCTTACAATTATCATTTGTTGCTTTCGAAACAGCCACAGTTTAGTTGAAGAATGATACAAATAGCCCTTTTATTCTCTTCTATATGGAATCTTGCTTCGTTGACTCATTTGCTTATAATAGAATATATTCCTTTGAAAAAAGAGGTTGGCATGCCATGCTCCATTATATGATCATTAGTTTAAGAAAGAACCCTTGAATTTGGAAATTCCTTTTTGGCACTACTGGTCATTTTCTTTTTCTCCACTATGGCTGTCGTTTAGACTTTAGAAAAATGATACATATTCATATTATTCATATTAGTCAAATGACACCTAATAATTAACTTGTTTCATTGTATGTAATACCTAATTCATTAAGTGGCAGTCAAGGTACATTCCCAACTAATACCTTTTCAGAAATGCTATATGTATTATTTTTTCTTGCACATTATCATAAAGGATAGATAAAAACAAAGAGTTGTTGTATGTATGTGTCTGATATCTGATAAGTTTTTACCTGAAAAAGGTCTCCAATGTTAACAATCAGAGCATCTGGGTTTGGTTTTACAGCAACCCATTTGGAATCTTTCATGAGTTGGAGTCCACCGACCTGATCTTGATAAAGAATTGTAATGAAATCACTATCAGTATGAGGCACTAATCCAAAAATTTCTTCTTTAGATTTTGGGCAGCATGGATAGTGATTTAATCGCAGAAAGCATGTGCCTGCATCACACAGTTTTTCAACTGCATCTTTTGGGTAGCCCAAGTTTTGTGCTAGAATGCTTGCCAACAACCTAGACACTTCTAGCATCGCTGGTGCAAACTCATTTATTGCTTCTCTGCAGAGACAGCCAGAGTTAGAAACAAATTAACGTGCAGTGTTTGTGGGGATGAAAATCTGAAATCATGCATGCCACAACCAGAACCTTCATTCCAGACAAATATTGCTCAGAACCATCAGCTCTTGTCTCACCATCAATTTTACAAGCCAACCTGTCAAGATATGGAATAACCCGACAACTTCTTTTTTTCCCTTTAAATTACTTATTACTATTCTTCTTCTCATATTTTTAAAATATTACCATTACATAAACATAAACATAAACTCTCCTATTTTCTACTCAACACTTACCCATCAATAATAAAATAATACTTTTATTTTAAAATGAATAAAAAATTAATTTTTTTATTACATATATTACAAAGGTGTAGAAATATTATGATACTTCTGTTATTCAGAAATACTTGCTTTACACTATGTATACTTCTTTAAGGGAGTTATTGTTTAGGTAATAATATTAAGGGACGCTGTGTGAAGTTAAAACAAATTGATTTATGTATTGATATTATTAAATATTTGTTTTTTTTATGTAAAAGTTTATATTTTTTACTCCTTATTACGAGTTGAAATATATTATGACTCACAAAATAACGAGTCCCACTCTTTAGTTAACAAAGACTCGGACATGATTGAAGTTTCGATCAAATAATTAATAACTAGATGTGTATTGAAAAGTGCATTAAAGAGTTTATTATATACATAGAATCTTAAACATGTATATAATAGCATTTTTTATAATTTGAAGGGTTTGACAGATGAATATCTTAAACATATTAGTTAAAAAAATGTTATCGTGACATTATTATTATATTTTCTTACTAAAAATACCCTGAATTTCTTAACTAGTAAAAGAACTTAGTAGCATTTACCAGTTTAAGAATCTACGCGTGCGTACCCATCTTCAAATGTTTAGTTATATGAAGACAAGGGTAGCAGAGCATGTGTGCAGCGAAAATTTCAATGACATTCAGAAAGAGTAGTGTCATCTGCATTAGAAAAGTCTGAGGAGAGCCGCCAAGTGTGATTTTCTTTTTAAGGAAAAAGAAAAGGAAAGAAATTAATGACTATGTTTAATCATTTAACTCATTGTTAGTGCCATGCCTACAAATCACATTATGTATATGCACTTTAAACAGTGAAAATATATAACACTTCGAAAGAGGGTGGACTGGTGCACCCTAAGACAGACACACTTTTGTCTTTGTTCTGCATTCATTAGTCTTTTGTCATTGTTCTGTAATATTGTAATATTGCAGTGTTGTTATCAAGGATGCATTGATCACAGAAAAGGAAAGATTTCAACTAAGTAAACAATGTGAAAAGTGGAATATATATATATATATATATATATATATATATATATATATTCTAAGACCAAGATACCTCAAAGAACTGAATTCACCCCAGGAAGCAGCTTCTGAGATCATTGTGAGAGGAATGTGGAATGCTTCGGACCATGAGAAATGACTTGAACGTGTAGCTGTTGGTGTCCCCCACCTATACGGGTTATTGAGAAGCCCGCAAGTGATCTTCTTCTCAAAGGGTACTTCAAACAACTTCATTTGTTCATTCCTCATTTTTCTGAGCAAGTCATGGCTTATACCATGGTTTACCACTTGGAAAAATCCCCATTCTGATGCAGCCTTGCATATTGCTGCAGTGCAAGCCTTTTTGTCTCTCTCATTAGAACTTTTGAGAGCACCAAGGTCTATAAGAGGTAGGTCACATGCATCCACTGCAGAAGGGTTTTGAAGATTAAAACTTTTAGCCTGTTTGGGTTCTGCAGAGTTTCTGACAAGTGCTCCATAATGGTGCATGAGTGGTGGGTTTGATTGTATCATTGTTGAAGCAAAAGTAGTTGTGTGGGAAAGAGGGTGGTGAAGGAGATGAAGTGATTGTATTGTGATTGTGATTGCATTTATATGGTTGAATTGGAGAGTGGAGACAGAGTGGTCTAGAAAGTCCTGAAATGGACAATAAGTGAGGACAAACATGGGTGTCCAGATGATGACAAATGTCAGAAGGACACCAATTTGGAACTCTCTCTCACAGGCCATGGCTTCAACCGATACTCTAAAATATTCATGGCAAGGAAGTTGCCATATAACAACGAAAAAGGGTTCAAACCTAACTTCACCTTTTGACTTTGTTCATTACACAAAAAATAAATGGTTCTAGTCAGCATTAGCCTCAACTTAGAATCACTAACGATGATATACATACACAAACTTGCGGTTTATGTGCACTTTTGACCATTATGAACGAGTATAGACAGAAAACAAGAATGACAAACAGGATGTTCCAACACTAGTGCAAAAATATGAAAGTTGCATTGTCCTTTAGTAGTTAAGAGTCTTATCATTCTTAAACTCAATGTTCTGTGACATCTATTGACATGTTTAAGGTTGCTTCTGGTTCAAATAAAGTGAATTTAAGTTTCATATTAAATAAAAATAAGAAAATTATATATAAAAAAGAAGACTCGTTACATTGTATATGGATTAGAGTGATGTATTTTTAGTTTATATACAATATTGTATTAACGATTGATAACATATTTGTGTTTTGGTTACTACTTCCCCGACTTTTCGCTGATAAATAATATTTAGTAGGTGTTGTAATATTATATATACAAATACTTTGAATAACATTGAGATAGAAGTCATTTATATACTTAAATTTAACATGATAACTTATTATTATGATACTCGTTCAATCTAGACCTATCAAGTGTTGGGAGAAGTGTTGTGGTACGAGGTGAATCAATTCTTTTGTAACAATAGCTCAACATAGAAGTTAGATAAGTCAAATTACAATTGGATCGTGACATTATATATAAAGAGTTTTACTCAATTATAACTTTTTTTTAGTGATAAATATTAGATTCAATAATTAATATTAGAACATACGTTACAAGTTAATTTTTATAATATGTTAAAAAATTGTTGTATGTTGCATCAATTATCGTATGATGAAAATTACAATCAATTTGTGGCGACTTGGATTGTTGGAACTATAGTTTTTTTTACTTAAAGTTGAGTTTTTTATCTACTTTAAAAAATATATTTTTTCTAGGGTTATGCAAGACATGTAAAATGGTAATTATTATTGTCAAATAGACTAAAAATTTAGCCTTCTAAGTCCTTGTTTAATCTATTCTTGGATCCTAAAAACATACTTATTGATAATAGTATACTTTTGAAAAAAGAAAAGTAGAGTAAGCCACTAATTTTAAATTTGAATTTTGGAGACAAACTTCGTAAACAAAAAAAAAACTTAGGACTTTGTCAGGAGACAAGAAAATACAAGTAATATATCTAAAATGAAGGAACATATTATTTATGAGTGCAAAGTACTTATCAAACTCAGACAATTTTATAGTACTGGTAGTGAATGTTGAACTTTAAAGAGACAACAGAAAAAGTGAGTAGCAAAAATGAGATGGGTGTGTTATCATACAACACAACACAAATTTCACAATGGTCATATTTGTGAAAATAGTGGTGTAGATTGAAGAAAAAAAACTGAAAAAGACAACTTGGACAAGAACCAAAAAAGCCACAGGAGATTCCAATGATAAAAGTAGAATGTATAATTTTTAGCCTTGTAGAAATGATGAGAGGAGACAAAAAAAACTTTAGAGAAAGTAATTATGATAATAAATAATTTTAAAACTTTGGTTTTTAATATAAATGAATATATTTATGTGATCCATGTAGCCAACATCAACTATTGGGATAAGACTACATGTGATGTCAAAAGAACTTTTCAGAAGTTGGATGAGTTAAAATGAAGGAAAATTACGACCGTTTCATACTATATTATTACAACCAAAAAGAAAAGCAACATTAATCACACAAATTACGAAAGAATATGAAATTTACTTTCTTGTGGAAAATTTCCAACCACCATTTGAGTGTCAAAGTTGCAAAGGTTTTATGCTTGTCCATTACGTTAAAATATTCAGTTATCTGCTAGATACGAAATTAAAGTTTGTTTACTACAATGAAAAATATTCTGCAGTAACATTGTGAGATTTGTAATATGGCTTGGGATACTAGGACACTAATTAAGAACTAGTACTAAAAATACATGACATGAAATACAAAAACACTTATGACTTATTTTTTAATCTGTATGATAAATATTTGTCTAAGTTAAACGAATGATGAGTGAAGATAAGGTGATGAATGTAGAAGCGAAGGAAGATAGAAAATGGTGTAAATAATGATTTAGTTTCACACATTACACAACAGGTATCAAGAGTTAAATATGATAATTACTTAAATTTGAAGTCGATGGCAAACTAGAATATAGATCTACAAATAGTTGGTATGGCATGAGAAAAACACCTGCACTCTGGAATCCATAACGGTGCATTCATCTCAAACCATTGTTATATTAATTGCTTTCCTATTTTCTCTCCTTTTTCTTTGCAAGGAAAATGTTTTGTTTATACAACAGGAGTTGCAAGGCTTCCTTCAAAAGAAACAAATAAAGGAGGGAGCAATAAGATGAATGATGGATGGATTAGAAAGTGTGGAAAGTTCTGAGATCCTCAATGCTTTGTACCACCAAAAACAGTTGTTGCAGCTAACACTCTCTACACTCATCATCATGCACTTTCATTGCCAAATCTGAGTGGACTCAGCACTCTGCCAGCTTCATTTTGTCAACGTACAATAAACCAATCAACTTTCATGTCACATATTCTATACTTCAATTTACAAATACTACATATCATCAAATAGTATTGCATTTTAGGATAGCCATTGTAGAAATTTAATTTCTTTTTTGTGAAGTTTTATACAAGGAATGAGTTAAGTTTAGCAAGAGCTTACCTATGTTCTATTAGGCAAAATACTGCTAGCAAGATCGTCGTTGATGGCGACAGGCAGTGGTGGCATTTGGCTCATAATCCCAGGCATCCCTCTCATACTGCACAAAATTAAGTGAACTTCACAATGTTGTTAGATATCAAAACCAAATTAAGAGTTACAAAACATTAACAGCAAAGTGAGTAAATGTTCACATACTCATTAAGAATGGTATTAATATTGTGCCTAGTGTGGCAAAAGAGGTCGATGTTATCCTGCAACTGTTTGACAAAGAAAACTATCATTATCACATTTAAATGCACCATAAATATAATGACAATGTGAGAACGAAGTCATAAAGTTGTCGATGAATGTCATTAGCAAATTGAAGCAGAGAGCCTACGGAATTTGGAAAATGCATGAGAGTAATTCCATTCATTAAGAAGTTTAATTAAAGTAAGGAGACAGACAAAAACAATTATATCACCATCTTATATGAAGTATCAAACTAGACTCCAATAACATGACTGACGATGACTTTTTAATGCCACAGGTGAATGTGATGCTTTTCTGCTATTACTGATAAATTATCCGTCCATCATAAAATTGAGGCAGGTGAAATGCCACATAGAGTTAATATTTCAGGCCTACAATTTGTTGAACACGAAGATTTTCCTTACTAGTGGAGTGCATAAAATCACCAGCTGCAACAGTATTTATAAACAAATAAAAAACTAAAACACGTGACCATTGAGGTAGCATGTGACCATTGAGCTATTTACCTTGTAAGTAGACAAATTGGCAGTGATTTGATTAAAAGCTTGAGCATTCTGCTCCATGAGTTGCTTCAAAGGACTACAAATTCCTGATTGCTCATAAGGAAAAAATATTTTATGAAAACAGGAACACTGATTCTAGTGACAAAACAAGAGATACCATAAGAGCTAACGAGGGGGAACTATTCTACTTTATGCTGACAATATAAATCAATAGGGTTTTGTACATAAATTTTCAAATATGAACAGTGACAAACAAAAATCTTTTAATTCCATTTACCTAACAGAATAACAGAATGACAAAACTAAAAGCTACCACAACTTCATCAAAATATAACAGAACACTAACTGAACAGAGTTACACAGTAGCCTACCAAAAAGATATGCCACCAATAAAGAAATGTACAATTTTTTTTCTTCTTTAGATTAGCATAGATAAAGCTGGCTTGCCAACAGGGATAAAGGGCATTGAACTGGTTTCACCACAATTTGGGGACAACTTAAGACCACGTCAGACTCTAACTATTGTATTTGATATTTGATGCAATAAGTATTAGTGATCAAAGTTTCTGGATTCATGATTAGTAATTAGGATAGTAATGTAAGATATTAGAGTTTAACACCATGTTTGAACTGTTTTCAAAAACTTATTTTCGATAATTAAAAAACAATAAAATCCTTTTAAAAGATCCATTTCACTCTAAAAATATTAAAAACAGTTAATGTATTTTAACTCAGGGATGAAATGTGTTTACATACATAGATTATTGGGTTGACAGTCAAGAGCTAAATTTTAGTTTTAGCTGAAAAAAATGTTTAAAAATGATGAATAATATGGTTACACACAAGAAATAGAAAATGATAACAACTTAAATATTAATTGATACTTCACATGATTTTTGTAAGAAAATTATATACTAACCATCATATTGTATCCGTTGACTTTGGTCCATATGGTGTGACATGCGAGAATATGTAGCCATGGTTGGAGGCAGAGTCGAATGTAAATTTGACTTTGATGCTAACTCCACAGGCTTATCCTGAAGAAGCAGGACTTTAGAATACTGGTTCTTCAATCAACATTAGATCCTAAAGACATTATTGATTCAATATATCAAAACTGGAATCCCATTTATGGGATGCAACGTAATCATATTTTGTTATTTACTTCGAGTTATCAACATCCTTGACAAGATAGTTAAGCAGGTTGAGAGAACTCAAAGCAACTTATTTTACACTACAGTATGTTTGGACAGAAACAACATTAACAGGGAATTTGCTAATGATTACCCTGAGTGCATTGGTAATAGATAATAGAAAATAATAAATTAAATGGTCAGATGTTTAAATCTTGGGTACCCAAAAATATTTAATATTTTTATTCTTTAAGTGCTTAGGTTAGGATGACTTACTGCATGTTATTAAATGCTTCTTCAGCAGTGGATAGCATGACCTTGATTGCATATGAAAGGTAGAAAAAAATACAAAATTTAATACCAAGGGGATAATTTAGGATGGACAAACATGGGCTACAGGTTTGAATCCTAACCAAGAGTCCGAAACAATTTACCTTCTTTGTCCCAATACTTGCCTTTGACTGGATCGGGGCAATGGATTAGTCAAAGAAGCTAGCCCACATACCACTTTACCACAATACCCAAGAGAATGCCAAAATTTACTCGAGAACTGAATATGATATGATGGAATTATTATATCTAGAGAGATTGACTTCCAGTTTTTGATTCTATGGTACAGACTAGAGTTTTAGCATATGCACCGCCCAAGATAAATGTTCATTTTTTAGTTAAGTTGAGATAACTAAAAACAAGTTTTCTAGTCTAACCAAATCAGATAAGGTGCATAAGAAAATAATAAAACAGCTAATCTAATCTCCACAGTAGCTACAATCTAGGCTAATCTCAACATATTTAAAGGGAAGTGTGTGTGAATTTTAATCAACAAATTGCATATAAAATGAGGCAACTTGGTATAATACGTAAGTATTGGGGATCTTATGCATGGATAAAACTAGGGATGATGCAAAGGTAGGCAGACATGAGAGGATTCATAATAGAAATTTCATTTTTCAATGTTGAGTTTAATATGAATTTTCATACATCTTCAAATTTAGAGGTCAAATATGTTTGAATTTTTTCTAAACAAAAAATATATTTGAAATCCAAGACTTTCATGATACATAAAATATCCAGTACAGAATCGGGGGAAATTACTTAAGATTAATTTCAAAACGTTTCAACACACTAAATTACAAGAAACAAAGCATGTATATACTAACTTCCAGATCTCAAGTACCTTTCTGTTATGGACCTTCTTTCCCAGATTGTGTTCTTCTGATTTCCTTCGCTTTCTCTGCAAAATATTTTAACTGTACTTTAAGCCTCCATAACAGGTGTAAAGGAGCAAGCTACATAAAGAAATACCCAAGTCCAATCTTAACACTATGTTCATAAAGTGCACAACTTCCTATTTTCTGTATAAAATTTAATACAGAACCCTAATCACTTTTCAACTTTTACATGAAAAGGTAAAGGGCAAGGAAAGTTAACTCGGTTTATTTTATTAAAAGTCCATTTGATCATGAGATGAAACATAACCTTTAAATAGGGTTCTAAATTGTGACCACCAGTGGCAATTGCAGCCACAACAACCATATTTTGGCCAAATTGAAAGTTCCATCAGAGCTTTATTTTCCTGCAATTGCTTGAACTGCTACCATGACAACACCCAAAATCTAAAACCCTGCCTTTTAAACCAGTGATATCATTATCGCTATACAACACTTTAGCTACACAACCATGCGAAAACTTGAGCCATTACAACAATGCCAAAAACTAAGGTGTAGGAGGAACCGACAAGACAAGTAAATTACTAAATTTTGAATGCATCGGGAAAAGGAAGTTCCACTATGCATGTTCAACTTTCAAGTAATCAATCACAACATATTCAAGTGATTTCAAATTAATTTTTTTTTTCTTCTATAGTTTGGTATAAACAAGTAACATAATTGGCAGCAATAAAAAATGGAGCTTGGAGAAACTATTGAAAGAAAAAGTGCTTACTGTCAACCATCTACACCTCAAAGCAACATCTCGAACAGTTTTATCAGGCAACAGGGCAGCAATTTTGATATACCTCATGATACTTGGTTCATCAGCATATCTGGTCGCAAAACGGAAGAAGAATCACAAACAACTCAGGACATATAAACTACATAATGAGAATACCAGCTCTTTAACATAAAATATATCGCACAACAACAAATTCAGCATAGCCACTACAACCCATGTAATTCTAGAGAAAAGATAAATGGTTTATTGGTTCAATAGTGAAGGGGGTAGGATTTTGATAGATGGTTAGAAGATGAGATTACTACTATACCCTTTCAGTGAACAAATAAAACCATTAAGCCCGAGTAGTCAAATTTGGAATAATTTAGTCAACACAATTCACAAACTTCTAGTATTTTTCCCTCCCTTGTAAATTCCGTACTAGTGGAGAGCAGGGATACGGGGGGGCACTTATTCCCCCTCCATTTCTACTTCCATCCAGACAATGTAAGCAATTAGCAAAGAAAAAAATAGTTAGCATCATTTTAACTAGGAATTAAAGTGTCAAACAAAATAAAAACAGCATTTGGAGATTGAAAATATCATTATCAGAGAAATAAAGATTGTAGTTCACAGATACAAAGAAAGACAGCGTGTTTGCTTTATATTTTATGAAATGGCTTAGGGATAGACAGCATGATTATTTCACTGATAAAAAGGGGGGGCAACAGCAATTGCTTCATCTGACAAAAAAAAAAAAAAATCATGGGCATCTAAGATTCGAAATTATTATCATCATGAGAAAGTAAATTGAAAATGAGCTACCGTGGACCAATGCAACACAGAGGAGCCATAATGACCAGGGTAAAATAAAAAGCTAAAAAAGACCTGACCTGGCCAAAACAAACAACTTACTTGGCAAGGCCTTCCTCCAATCTGTACTGCTCATCAACAGACCACTCAACAGCTAAACCTGTGTCATGCTTCAATCCTGGAACCGAATCGAGAAGAAGCGAAGAACTTGATGGGTTACCGGCTTGACTCATGACAGGATTACTGTTAATGATGGTTGAATTCCCAGAATATATCATCCCAGATGAACTACTTAGCCCAAAATAATTACCCATTGGAACCATCTCTGACAGGCGGTTAATAGCAACACCAGGCTGGAATGATATGGCCCGCCTGTTAAAAACAGAATCTATATCTTCACTGTGAAATCCAGCGTTTGACTCTGCCGCCATCCTTACCCCTTTCTTACCAAACAACTTCCCCAAAAATCACCTTAAGCCACAACTAGTACCAACAGCCATCTTCAAGCCAAAACAACAGCGCCAATTCACCGATTCAGAGCACCCTCTAAGATCAAAATCATTCAGATTCCATATATATTAAAAGCAAAAAAGGAAATACCCAACAGGAATCAGAGGCGAAATACCCAGAAAAGGTTCAATATTTAGTTGATGAAGGCGACTTGGTGACACCCCAGAAGAAGCAACCAGAAATCCCACAATCAAAATCCCCAAAAAATCAGACTTTAGCTCAGAAATGGAGATCCCAGAAAAGTAAAGAGTGACCCAGAAGACAAGACCTGAAGTGAAATCCCAGACAAACCCAAGTCAGTGTTTAGAAAAGAGAAGAAAGGTTCATCTCGAAGAGAGTCAATTATAGAGCTACAAAGCAAAGGAAAACGATAAAAGCCCTAATAACAGCAAATCAGACGTGTCGTAACAGAACAACAGGGAGTGGATAGAGAGAGAGAGAGAGAGTGATACCTTTTTTGTAGCAACTTTCCGACCGAAGCCTAGTTGGTTGTGGTGACGGTAGTGCCTTTTTTTCTCTCTCTCTCTTTCTCTCACTAACACTACGCTACAATGCTATCACTGCACTACCATTTGGCATTTGCTACTTTCTTTCTGGGTTGCGGGGTACGCTGCTTTGCGTTGTGACACACACACACACTCTCTTTCCCTCTCGAGAGAGACAAGAGATGGCTTAGAGCTCCGCCAACAGGGAAGCAGAGAAAGGGAAAAAAAGGAAAATCTAGTTTTATTTTTCAAATAATTTTCCTCTGTTTTATACATAAAATTATATAAAAAAAAAAAGAAAAGAAAGAAAGAAAGATAATAACGGATGGTTGTGGATCTTGGAATTCAGCAACAGTGCGAATCCCAATAAGCATTTGATGCTGATCATTGTGGACTCCACCTCTCCTTTCTGCTTAATTTTTCTGCTAATTTATCTTTTATCATTTGTTTTCTTATGCAAAGTATGAATGTTATTTTATACAAAAGCACAGCCATTAAGTACATTCATCCTATGCAAAGACAACATCCAGTCACAATCCCATTCAATTTTAATATTACATGCTTCATCAAATTAACTACAACAACTAGGGTATTTATGCAACACAATACTAATCTCTTTTCCTAATTAATCTCACTATTTTCTATCATATTATTACAGATGCACTGTATTTATCAATTTTATTAATTCTAAACACGTTTTAATACTCATCTTATTAGTTGTCATACACATTATAAAATGTAATGTTTAAGTAAAATACAAGTCATGGATTTAAATATAGAAGCAGAAGTATACATATATATCCTAACAGATAAGAATACAGTGCTGAAATTATTACTCATAGAGACCTGAATTTAAATAGAGATATTTTTTAAAATATAAATAGAAAAACATAAAAACTACAACTTCTATGATCCCTATGTTGAGAATTGTCAAACCACTAATCATCGTTATCAATGAGGTCCTCCCACTTCCCATGTTGGGCTAGACACATGTGCACTTTCATCTACGAATAGTTTGAAAATTCTGCCAAGGAATTCCGTAACAGCAAAAGGAACGAATACTTTATTTAACAGAAATTCACTCTAATTATTTAAAACAAAACGAAAAAAAAAATGTAGAAATTTGTTAGGTCTATAAGAAGAAGGTTTACCACGAGACACAAATATCAAAGAGATCTGGATCCAATCATACAAGAGATTGATATTACTGTGTATTCAAAATCTTAAAATAATGGATTAACGAGTCTTTTATATTTAAAAAATATTTTTTAACAATTTTTTTACAATCGTCTATGTACTAACCTATAATTGATCCATTTCAAATATACGAACCAATAAAATAATAACACATAGTTTATTGTCAAAAAATTATTAAAAAAAATTATTAATATATCATAGTATTTCATATTTATAACTTAGTACTTAGACTTACGCTTGAATTCAAAAACATTTTCAAGCCTCAAATGATATATTCTCTGTAGTGACTAGCCAGTCAGTAGCAACCTCATTTGATTACGAAATTTCACAACATACCCTGCATCAGGTTTGACAGCAATTCTCATTGTTTTACTTCATATTTTATCCTTGTTGAGTTTTCATTTGTTTCCACAAACATGTTGCACAGAATATCTCAAAACTAACCATCACAGCACAAAGACAAGTAAAAACTAAAAGCAACTACGAAAACCAACACAAACCGTGTCCATACTTAGGCGTTTAAGAATAAAATACTCTTTCAATTTGCAGAGGAAGCCCATGCTTAACAAATACGTCAGCAACTTTAATTGCTTCCCAAAAGAACATGCATCCAAATCGATTCTTCTCCTTGCTAAAGTTTAGTTTTTTAAGCCTTGTTCATTAACTTCAAAACGTAAAAATCTCACTTTTTTTTACTGTGACGGTTATTTGTTATATATCACACCAGAGCAAAATCATATGAAGAAACAAACAGTTTAAAACTTATGCATTCGTAAAAAAAGTTGTTTATAAACAGTGATTATAGTATAGTAAACTCCTTGAGAAAGCGCAAACATTATTAAAACTATCAGATTTAAAGTTGTCTGCTTCAGGAACCGGTTGTTTTGTGGGGATAACGTACGTTCTAAACAAGATTTCAGGAGATGTCATGAGATTATATAGTTTTATAAGAAGAAAAAAATGAGATTTATGTCGGGCTCTGAAAGATTATGACAAGACAATGGTATCGTGAGTTGTGAAATGTAATGAAACACACTAACATGATATTAAGATTTGATTTGAAACGGGAAAACATAGGTTTGTTTTGGAGTGTGAAGGTGTAATAGAACTGGGTAGATGTTTATCGATTGGGTCCAAAGGCAATGGGTCCCTAACTTCTGGGAACCTCTTTATTGCAACGTGACAGCATCATCTGTTCTGTGCACACACACACACACACCAACCTAACAAACCATCTTCCTTCACATTTCACACTTCACACTCACGACAACCTTCGTTTTGGCACCATGTTGCTGCCAAGAGGACGAGAGACCCTTCTGCTTGTCGCTGTTTTTTCTTCATCATTCATACAACTTTGTTTTTAACTATTTTGTTTAACTCATCGTCATCATTGGTTCGGCTTGTTGTACAAAATTAATGGAGGAATCAAATTATTATTTTGGTTAACTCGTCATAATGGAAAAAAGAAAATTAATTATTGTTTTGTTCTCGATTTTTTTTGTATTTATTCGGTGTTCCTATTTTTTTTTTTAAATTAAGAGTCATTTTGTGTTAAATAGATTTGCTTTAGCTTTTTTTTTCCTTATTTTTCTATAAACATGTTAATGTATATTTAAAAATGTCTCGTGTTTTTGTCATATTTTTGTTTTTTTTCTTTAAATATTTTTAACATATCAAAGATTAGTATTGTTATTATTATAATGTGACACGACATTACTCCAAATATAGGAAAAAACCTTAAAGAAAATAAAAATAATATAACATTTACAAATATAACATTTACAAAAGTAATATTAATGTCATTAAAAAATATTAACAATATTTACGAAAGTAACATTAGTATCGTTTATACAAATCTAATGAAAGTTATTGTATTAAATTGATTTATCATCTAATAAAATTTAATTTAACAAAATAAAATTAGAAAATCAATCTAGAAAGGAAAACAAAAATAGTAATTAAATATTAAAAAATAAAGAATTTTAAACAATAGAAAAATAAACAGATTTGGTGTTGGCATTTATCTTAATAACACCGATGAAAAAAATATATAAAAATGGTGAAAATGTTTTAAAAATATATAAAATAAAGTATTTTTTTATATATTTTAATATGCGTTCTCTCTTTATTATCTATCGTGTAAGTGATTTTAATATTAATTGTGATTTTTATCAGAAAATTACAAATTCTATTTTTAAAAAATAAAAACTAGCTGTGGGTGAATATAATCCATAGCAGAAATATATTAATAAATAATAAATTTCGTATGCAAAACGCAAGGTTCACTGAAGAATGGGTTTAGGTAAGAGCAAAAGTTGATGGCACGAAGATGATTCTAGAAGGCTTTGCTTTTGCTTCCTTTGTATCCAAAGCAACATAATATGGAAATTAAGATAAATGATACCATGATGCTGCTTTAGATTTCCTAAAATTAAATGGATTTCAAGTTTTTTAATAAATGTATTCAATTATGATATTATATGCTATTTTCTTTTTTTTTATAACGATGACAAATAAAATTATAATAATAAATAAAATAATTTTTATTCAAAGTTTAATATTCTTACTCCAATAAATTCTTCGTTTTAGGAACATGAATCATATGCTTTATGTCAACTCGTTGAATTTAACATCGATATTAGAAACAATAAGAATATTAAATTTGATAGATATGTGTATACTATACTATTTTTCAATGAAAATTTTTACTTTATGGATATTTTTATTTTAATTTCTTACGAGTTATTAAGGTGAAACTTCCATTATTGATAAACAGTACAAGTTAACCTTGAAATATTATGTCTGAATCTTGACATTCTATCATTCAATAAAATTATTTAAAAAAATATGGTCTCTTGAGATATTTTTACCAAATAATTTTTATTCATGATTTTATAATTTAATAAATTTTAAAGAAATATTATTCAAACATAAACTTTTAAGAATAAAAATAGAAAGAGACGTGAAATATAATAAATCAGGTGATGGAGATAGATGGTCATAATAAGGATGTATAAATTGTTATAAATAACACATCAATTTTGACTAGTATTGCATTTGTTTCATTTTATTTGACATTTATGATTTTTAAACATAAATAAATAAATTATACCTCAGAGATTTTTAACACTATTTAAAATCATTATTTCATATATATATATATATATATATATATATATATATATAATCAACTTAAGCTCACTAATTTATTTTAAAATATTTTTATTATCAATTATTTTGTCTGAAAAACCATTAAAATCAAATAAAAAAAAGTCAAATTCACTGAAGATTAAAAAAAAAATTGAAATGTAATTGGTATCTATAAATGTTACTTTTTCTTAGTCATATGAAAAGCTATTTGTTAGTTTTAGATCCCTATCGTCTTTTATCTCTATTTTTCGTCATATTCATAAATAAATAAAATTATTAATTAAAGTAATTAAAACAACAAAAAATATTTCAAAATAAGATGATTAAAAATTTTATATACTTAATTTAACCCAGTAGCATATTAAAATATTATAAGTGATTATATTCTTCATAGATTTATTAAATATATTACTTAATTGAATAATTAACTTGAAATATTATATAAATTTTTTTGCATAGTCTTTTTTTAACTCATTTGATATATTATATAAAAATAAAATGATCATAAGAAATAAACTTTTATATTTAAAAAAAAAATAAATAAACAATATTAAATAAATGTAAAAAATTTACGTATTAAATTAATATATAAATATGTATTAAATTTTGTGTATTTGTTGAAGATAAGACATTAAATATTATAATATCAATACTAATATATACAAAAGTAATTGTAAGCTCCAAGTAATGGTTAGAAAATGTAAAAACAATGAAAATTAACAAATATTCGTATAGACGTTACTAGAAAAGATTTAAATCATTTTTAATCACATAATAATTCATTACTTACATAATAATTCATTACTTTCTGAAAAATTGATAATTTGTAATTATAAGAGTGGTGGATCTAATTTAAATTGAAATCTTAAAATATATCTAACTAAAGAATTGTTAAAAGTTTCTCATTATT